GCAGAATGGCTACCCCTAGAGGATGAATCAGTGTGTGAATGAAACTAAAACAGGAAAAAAAAAAAAAAAAAAAAAGCAAGCAAGAGAGAATCAACTTTCTAGTGGTTGGGGCAGCTGGGTCCCACAGGTCCGACCTCACGGCTTGAGTCACAGCTTAAGGCTGGCCAGGGCAACATAATGAAACTCTACTTTAAAAGAGTGGAGATAGGGGAACCAGCAGTTAGTGTAATGACTATGTCGCTGGACTCCCACGTAGTTGACCGCAGTTTGCATCCCGGACCCAGTGGCTTAAAACTCAAGCCGGGCGCGTGTGCGTGCGTGTCCAAGATCCCGAGAGGAGAACGGAGGCGCAGGGATGACCATCCCCCCTGGGGGGTGATTTCTCACTTTCTGTCTCTATGTCTCTCTCTGTCTGTCTGGCGAGCGCAAGCACCCTATAGTAAAAAACTCTCAAAAAATTAATTAATTAATTAAAAAAAAAAAAGAGTGGGGATAGGAGTTTGGACAATGATAATGCAAACATAGACTCACATGGGAAAGGTCTGAGTTTGCAACCCCGGACCTCCCTGAGCCTGCTGGGTATGCACACATGCTCATGATCTGGGCCAGCTAAGACTGGGAGTGGATCACCATGTGAAGACCCTGTTGTGGGGTGTCTGTCGGTCTCTCTCTCAGAAGAAATTTTTTTACATTTTTTTCTTTTTTAGGTATTTGCCATAGGGTACATGTGCTGGCCAAAAAGAGAGAGACAGATACAGAGAGAGGGAAAGTGAGAAATCGCTTCCCAGGGAGCATAGCCATGCTGCAATCCTTTCTCCTCCATTCTCCTCTCAGGATTTCGGGCATGCAGGCACACATGCCAGGCACGGTTTTCAGGCTTCTGGGTTCAGGGCTCAAACTGTAGCTGGCCATGTGGGAGTCCAGAGCCTTAACCACCACACCATCTACTAGCTCAGAAGTCAATAACCGTTTTTGTTTGTTTGTTTCTTTCTTTGTTTTGTTTCTTTTGTTTGTTTGTTTTGTTTATTTATTTGTTTGGTTTTTTTGTTTCTTTTTCAGAGAGATTTTTGCTACAGGTCACATATACTCACTAGAGAGACAGAAAGAGAGAAATCACTCCCCCACTGAAGGGAATGTGCATGCCACAATCCCTTCTCCATTTTCCTCTCAGGATCTTGGGCACGCATGCACACGTGCCCAGCATGAGTTTGAAGCCACTGGGTCTGGGACTCAAACCATGGTTGACTATGTAGGAGTCCAGCGACATAACCTTTATGCCATTATGCCATGTGCTGGTCCCATTAAAGAAAATGTAAAGGGGCCAGCAGGTGGTGTGGTGGTTAAGGTGCTGGACTTCTACATGGTATACGACAGTTCAAGTCTTGAACCTGGTGGTGTACTCTCTCTTTCTCTCTCTCTGTCTCTGGTGAGCACAAGTGCCTGATAGCAAAAATTTTAAAAATAATAATAGTAAATAAAATTAAATAAATAATTCTTCCGACCGACTGGTGTTGTGCTTGTTAAGGGCTCTGGACTCCCACGTGGCCAACTGCAATTTGAGCCCCTGACCCAACGGCTGCTTTCTCACTTTTTCTCTCTTGCTCTCACTCTGTCCCTCTCTGGTCAAATTAAAATAATTAAAGTTTTAAAGAAAGAAGTTCACTGATGTTTCATGTATTTCAAAAAATTTTAAAATAAACAAATAATTATTTTTTAAAGAATTATTTATTTATTTAATTCCATTTGTTATTATTATTTTTTAATCTGACCAAAGAGAAAGAGAAAGGGAAAGCGAGAAATCAAGCCGCCAGGTCCAGGACTTGAACTGTGGTCAGCCACGTGGGAATCCAGCACTTTTATCCACCACGCCACCTGCTAGCCCCAAAAATAAACAAATAATTATTTTTAAAAAAAAAAAGAAAAGAAAATGTGAAGTTGAACAAATCCTCAAATTTCAGAACTAGAAGGGATTTTTTTTAAAGATTTATTATTTCATTTTATTTATCATTATTATTACTTACTTTGCTACAGGGCACAATTTTCACCAGAGAGAGAGAAAGTGAGAAAGCAAGCCACCAGGTCCAGGACTTGAATTGTAGTTGGCCACGTGGGAATTCAGCACCTTAACTACCTACCACCTGCTGGCCCCTAGAAGGGCTCTTAAAGAGAGCCACTGTTCTTTGAAAGCAGATATTTTCTGATGTTCTGGTCTGCCCAGTACAACCATTCTTTTTCCCATGACATAACTCTGTCCACAGTGATTCACACCCACAGTTCAGGGATGGGCACACATGGACTGTTAAAATCAATCCCAATTTTTTTGTGGGAGTTTTCGGGAAGGGCAGTCAATCTCTGGCAGAATGGCTACCACTTGAGGATGAGTCAGTGTGTGAATAAAGCTAAAATAGAAAAAACATAACCAAGAAAGCCAGAGAGAGAGAGGGAGAGAGATCTCTGATGGTTGGGATGGCTGACTCCCACAAGGCTGACCTTGCAATTCAAGTCCCAGACCTAGTGGCTTGAGAAACACCCTGGGGTGCCAGCAGTTAGTATAGTGGTTAAGGTGCTAGACTCCCACATGGTCGACCTTGGTTCAAGTCCCAGACCTAGTGGCTTAAAAAAACCTCACAAGGAGTGTGTGCATTTCCAAAATCCCAAGAGAAGAATGGAGGAGAAGGGATTGTGGTGTACCCTCTGAGAGATGATTTCTCATTTTCCCTCTCTCTATCTCTGTCTCCCTTTCTCTGGAGAGCACACGCACACTATGGCAAAAAACTAAAAACAAACAAACAAACAAACAAAAACCACCCTGGGTGCCTGTGTGTATGCCCAAAATCAAGAAAAGGAGAGAAGAATGAAGGAGGAGGAATTACAGCATGGTCATGCCCATGAGGGGTGCTTTCTCTTCCCTTCTCTCTCTCTCTCTTTCCTGAGAGCACATACACCAAGCAAACTGAAAAATAAAAAAAGTTAGCAAAATCTAATTTTTTTGTCTAGGTTTCTGCCCTAGAGCACGTGAGCTCGCTGGAGAGAAACAAAGAGGGAAAGGGAGAAATCACCCTTTGGGGGGGATCGCCATGCCATCACTTCTCTAATTTTCCTCTCAGGACTTTGGGCACACACACACACACACACACACATGAGCCTGGCATGATTTTAAAGCTGCTGGATCCAAGACTCAAACCATGGTTGACCAGGTCGGAATCCAGTGCCTAACCACCACATGCCACCGGCTAGTCCAAGATCCTTTTTTTTAAAAAAAATAAATTTATTAATCATTATTATTGTTTATTTTTTGCTATCGGGCATGTCCACTCACCAAAGAGAAACAGAAAGAGAGCAAGAGAGAGAGAGGGAAAGTGAGAAAGAAAGCTACCAGGTCCGGAACTCAAACCATGATCGGCCATGTGGAAGTCTAGCACCTTAACCACCACACCACCTGCCAGCTCCGAGAGACTTTTTTTTTTTATTGCCAGAGAGCATATACACTCACTACAGGAGAATGAGAGAGAAGCCTAAAGCACCCCTTAATTAGGAGTAGTCACGCAATAATCTCTTCTCCATCCTGTTGGGACTTGGGGCATGCACACACACAGCATTGTTTTTCAAGCTGCTGGGGCTGGGATTCAAACTGTAATTAGCCATGTGGAATCCAGCTCTCTTAACCACTAGGCCACAGGATCTTAAAGCAGATTTATTTATTGATTCTTAATTTTTTAAAGAGAATTATTTCATTTTATTTATTCATCCATTTATTTTAATTTGACCAGAGAGAGAGAGACAGAAAGAGAGAGTTAAAGTGAGAAAGCAAGCCACCAGGTCTGGGGCTCAAACCATGGTCGGCCATGTGGGAGTGTCCAACGCCTTAACCACCACGCCACCTGCTGGCCTCTTAAAGCAGATTTATAAGGTGTCGTCCCCAGAACATCTCATTGGAAAGGATCTAGTTCAAGTCAGGCTCATTTCAAGGGAGATAAATGGCTGTGGGCTGGGAATAACCCCTTGTCCCTTTCACAGGTCAAGTTCTCCAGGAAGTTCTGCTTGCAGGACTGCCCTTGGGCTCCAAACCTGTTGACAGGTGAGGAAGCAAGCAGACTGGGTACAGGGAGAAGTCAGGCTCCACTGCCTGCCCAACGACAAGCTCAGTTAACCCCACAGGGAGCTCCAAAGGTAATAGAGCCCACGGACGTTGCTCCACTGGGCTTTCATATGCCCACCTTGATCAGACAGTGGATGTGAGCCTCTCCAGAAAGGGAGTGACCTATGGAAAGCTGTCTGCAGCTCAGAGAATCCTTGAAGGGACTGAGGACATTCCCAGTTGCTGGGATAGCAAGTACTTCCCTGAAGAGAGACCTGGGAGCACATCTCTGTGTCCTACTTTGTCTCAATATGACCTAAACTGCAAAGCAGACATGCAGCTCCGCTTGGGTGGGAGGGAGCAAGATGAAGATAGCCTAAGGTAGGGCTAGAGAAGCGATGCAGACCATGGGGGGCCTTTGAGGAGGTTGAGTCCAATCTTCAGAGGCGGCATTGGTGAAGGGATGCTGTGGGACAGCCATTCCACCCAGCACAGTTGAGAAAGTTTATTCAGAAGCCTCTGAGCCACATGTAATGAGAGTGTGAACTTGTCTGGGAAGAGAGGCAAGCTAGGCAGAGGAAATTAGGCAAGGCTGGAACAAACCGAAGCCAAACTTGCCATTCACTGAAGAGAAGAGAACTATAGTCTGCTTTATTCATTGCTCCTCTGTGTTTCTAGAGCAGATGCAGCATGGTGAGGTGGCCGTTGGCTAATAATCCTTTCTGTCTATTTACGAAGCAATATTAAGCACGATGGGAAACAGAGCCTGATGGTTTGAGCCTGGGAAATTTGGGGAAGCATTGAAGAACAGGGCCAGCTGTCAAGATGTCACCAACAGGAAGACAAAAGGAGAGGAGATAAAAGAGGATGCATTTGAATTCAAGAGTCAATAATAAGCAAGAAGTGAGTGTTGAATTATTCAGCCTCCTTTATTGATCGATTGATCTCCATCTGCAGGTCTTGGTTTATTCTTGGTTGGCATTTCCTGTGTCTGAGACAGGAGAAGAGAAATAGGAAGAGGAGGGAACATAGTTTTAAAATTCAAGGAGAGAGAAGAGACAATGCCAAAGAGAAATTTGGCAACAAATACCCATACCTTTTGACCTAGTGGTTCTACTTCTGGAAACTAATAGTAAAAATATCATCCAGAACTTTGTGGGTGTTTTTAGTTTTTGTAGAGGGTTTTTATTTTATTTTATTTTTTGCCTTAGGGTGCATGCACTCTCTGGAGAGAAAGACAGTCAGAGACAATGACAGGGAAAGTGAGAAATCACCTATTGGGGGGATGGCCACACCATAATCCCTTCTCCTCCTGGGATCTTGAGCATGCACACATATGCATCCAGCATGAGTTTCAAGCCACTGGGTCTGGGACTTGAACCATGGTTAGCCATGTGGGAGTCCAGCAATGTAACTGCTAAGCCATCTGCTAGCCTTTTTCCAGAACTTTTAAGAAAAAATGTTGGGGCCAGTCAGTGGCATGGTAGTTAAGGCACTGGACTCTCACATAGCCAACCACGGTTTAAGTCCCAGACCCGGAAACAACCTGAATTTCCAACAATAGGGCATTGTACAAGAAACAATAGAGATTGGGTCTGGCAGGTGGCCTGGTAGTTAAGGGTGCTGGATTCCCACATAGCTGACTGCGGTTCAATTCCTAGACCTGGCGGCTTGCTTTCTCACTTTCTCTCTCTCTCTCTCTCTCTCTCTCTCTCTCCATATATATATATATATATATACTTCCTAGTCAAAATAAAATAAATGAATAAATGAATAAACAAAATTAAGTAAAATAATTATTTAAAAAAATAGAAAAGACACAATAGAGATAAAAGATGCTGTTAGAAAAAAAAATTTTGGAGAGATTTTTGCTATAGGGTGCAAGTGCTCATCAGAAAGACAGAGAGAGACAGAGAGATAGAAAGCACAGAAACAGAGAAATCAGCTTCCCCAGGAGGGATGACCACGCCGCAATCCCTTCTCCCCCATTCTCCTCTCAGGATCTTGGGCACACACATGTGCCTGGCATGAGTTTAAGTCACTGGGTCCAGGATTCAAACCACAGTCGGCCACATGGGAGTCCAGCGACATAGCCATTACACCAACTGCTAGTCCCAAATAGATTTTTTTTTTTTATAAAGAAAATTAAAAAATAGGGACCTGAGAGGAAAACGGAGGAGAAAGGATTGCGGCGTGGCCATCCCTCCTGGTGGGTGATTTCTCGTTTTCTGTCTTCCTGTCTCTCTCTGTCTTTCTGGCGAATGCATGCACCCTATAGCAAAAACCTCTCCAAAACAAAACAAAACAAAACAAAAAAATCTATTTATTTGTTGTGGTTTTCAAGCTGCTGGGTCCAGATCTTGAACCATGGTCAGCCATGTGGGAATCCAATACTTTAACCCCCACACCATCTGCTGGTCCCTGTTTATTTAGTTTTTGTAATTTGCCAGAGCGTGTGTGCACTTGCCAGAGACAGACACATGGAGAGAAGACAGGGAAAAGGAGAAATCATCCCCATGGGACATGGCCAGGCCACAATTCCCATCTCCTCCATTTCTCCCCCTTTTTTTGGGGGGGAGGCATGCACACATATGCACCTGGCATGTCTCTAAAGCCAACGGATCTGAGACTCAAACAGTGCAACCAGCCTTGTGGGATCTAACCACCCTAACCACCATGCACTGGCTGCCCAATATGTAAGTGTTTTTTTTTTTAATAGATCATAGATTAGGGGTTTTTTTTGTTTTTTTTTTTTTTGAGAAGTTTTTGCTATAGGGCGCATGCGCTCACCAGAAAGAGAGAGAGACAGAGAGATAGAAAGTGAGAAATCACTCTCCAAGGGGGTTGGCCACGCTGCAATCCCTTCTCCTCCATTCTCTTCTTGGGATCTTGGGCGCACATGCACGCCCGCCCAGTGTGAATTTAAGCCACCAGGTCTGAGACTCAAACTGCGGTCTACTACATGGGAGCTCAGTGACATAGCCATTACTCTAACTGCTGATCCCAAAGATTAGTTTATTTTTAACACCCATCATGCCATGAATTCACAGGGAATAGATTCCAGAAGCTCAGGCTCTTTTCTGTTGGTTCTCACAAAGTGCTTCTCTGGGTGGAGCAGACTGGTGCTTCAGTTGAACCCAGGTCCCTTTCTCTTTGGCTTCCTTCTTTTTCTGGTCATTTTCCTTCACACGTTTTAGGAAGCTATCTCTACTCTGAGAATGCTTAATATGCTCAATATGCACATTAATTCTCTTGGCAAGAATCACGCCCTTAAGTTGTTTGTTCAAAACAATGCCAACATCGTGCTGGGTAACATTGCGGATTCTTCCAGTTTTGCCATGGTAACATTTGTGGGGCATTCCTTTTTGAACGGTATCCATTCCCTTGATGCCTACAGTATCACCTTTCTTCTAGATTTGCATGTATGTTGCCAAAGGAACCACTTCATGCTTTCTAAAAGGCCTAGAGAAGATACATCGGGTGCCTCTCCTCCTTCCCTTCGTGTTGTCATTTTGGTTAATTACTGGAAGATGGCAGTTCCGGCCAAAAGGAAAGACCAATATGTAAGTTTTTTAACGATTTTTTTCATCTTAAAGATAGAGGGAAGACCTTCCTATGAAAGCTGCTTAGTAGTAAAATAAATACAAATTAGTGGGGAGTCGTAATTGTCCCAGAACCTGGGGTGCTGCCATGTCCCAAGTGGGACAATCTCCTTGGCCCATGTATGGAGCTGTATGATTGAATGAGTGGTTACTTGGGGTATTCAAGCTGCAGAGGACAATCAGAGCTCCCCAAATTCATATTTAAAGGAAAAGTACTTTTCCCTAC